TAAAGCTGATGCCTATAATATTTTCATTTAATGTCCGACATCACTCAAATAGGTCGAGGAGAAGCAAATATTAAATAACAAGGGACGATTAAAAAAATTACGGTAGAACAACTTATTTAATGATAAATTAATAAATTAATATTAAAAAAATAAGTTTAGGATAAAGCGTAGAGCGAAAGACGAAAAGCACAAATTTTGTAATTTTAGGTTCACATAAACCAATTATAAAATTTGCATCAGACATAATCATTATGCCCGGAAATTCCAATTTCACGGGCTATTTCCGGACTTTTGGTGATTTTCTTGATTGTTTTGAGTCAGCAACATTTTTGCTTTCTTCTGCTCAATCGAATCCTGTTATAAGGTTAATTTAAATGTATATCTGACAACCGGGAAGTTACCAAAAATTCTCATCAAGAAGTCATTAAAATTGTTCGATGTTTCAACTATCATGAAAAAGCTGGCTCAAAACTCTTTACAGGATGTTTATGAAATGTTCTCAAATTTTCTTTAGAATCATTTCCCATCACAGAGTTATTTCAGAGTTTCTCTAAAATTAATTTGAGATTCTATCCGAGAGACCCTTGTCTGAATTCTCCTTAAAATTTCTACGCAATTCTTCTCAGAATTGTCATACAATTTTGCTCATAATTATCTTGGTGTTCTCCTTTAAATTCTTCTGAAAATTCGCTTGGAATTCTCCTGAAATTCTTCTCGAGATGCTCTTGGTACTATTCTTGGAATTCGTATGAAGCTCATCTCCTTATTTATCGTGAGATCCTTGTAATGCTATTTAGAATTCACTTGAAATTATCTTTTATTTTTCTAAGAATTTCCTTCGAATTGTCATCACAACTCTTTTAAAAATCTTCTAAGAACTTATTTCGAATATTCATTAGACATGGACCTGAAATCCTCTTCACATTCGTCATGAATTTAAAAAAAAACTACCTATAGACAAGGGGTGGTCACTCTACACACTTACTTTGCGCCAACATTTTTCTCAGTGTACCTCAGTGTGCCGCAGCTGTATCAGCAGTGCCATGAAGTAGAAGGAGTAATTGACAAATCCAAGTTTCAATCGGCCACCGTGGCGCTGCAATCGCAGCGGTGATAAGTCCGAAATAATGTGTCAAACTGAATACATTTTTGAAATTTCAACCAAAAAACTATTATTTTGTATTTATTCTAGCGAGTTTCTGTGGGAGTCAAAACATGATCCGAGCAAAAAAGTAGTACTCGTAATAATGGTATATAATTCTGAATTTTATCGTGCTTTGTTTCGAAAATATCTTCCAAATAAACAAACATCATCCAGATTACCTGATTCGTCCACCGACTAAATCTATTGCCACTTAAAAAATAATTTCAGTCGGTGTATTAATCAGCAGATTAAATCGTTTTTCGTCTGCTGCTACACCGAGCAATCGGCCTATTTAATAGTTTTTCGTCGATGGATTTAGTCGGCCAACTTTGTCTGCTGTTTAATCGGCAGATGATTTCAAACCTTAACATGTTTTCTGTAATTTAACTGTCTTGAAGTAGCTTTTTATTTAGGAACAATGCATTACAAAATAATTTTATGCATTTTGTACAAGGTTCATCCATGCTGACAAGAAATTTGCATGAAATTACATTGAAATTAAACAATTTTGCAAACAATCAATGAAATTGTCAAGGGCTGTCCAGACTTATCACCGTCGGTTAGTGCCTATTCCTGCCACCAGGCGCGCAGGAGTTTAAGTTGGATTTCTCAATTGCACTGACTTTTGTTTGCTTGTGAATAATGCCTTGTTTGGCAACCCGGTATTTTAACAGCTCTTGTTTTTGTTTTGATTTTCAATGTTTTCAAAATCATCCAAATCTTCGGCGGAAGACTAACCCCGCACAACGAACGTCAATCATTAGTCAACCAGTCCTTCTGGGAGCCAGCGGAGGATTTGCACCGAATTTGTCACCGCCCGAGTATCATCCGTCGGAGAACTGGAAACCAACACCGGCCGGAACACACGTCGGACTGATGAAGGACGCACCGCTAACCCGAAACGGACCATTCAACCCGCACAGCAATAGGGCGCAGTGATGATGGTCTACGGACTCGATAACAACACAGCTAACACCGATAAGCAGTTCAATCTGTCCTTCCTGTATGGACATGTTGTCATAATAAAGTTCTTGAAGACCAAAGAGGGTGCCGCCATGGTCTAGATGGGAACGCCATCGCTGTCGAACCAGTGCCGCACAATTCGATCAGCTTCAAGGTCTACAACGCCTCCAAGAACAATCACTTCCCAGGCCAGCAAAAATCGCATTCTCCACTTCTTCAATACCCCACCCGTATGCCGTCCGAGGATCTGCTGCTGATTGCATTCACCATCAAGGACTGCCACCCGTCGCAAGTGCGAATGTCCCCGCTGATATCGGAAATTTCCTCCTCCGGATTGGTGGAGCTCCCGAGCGCAGCCTTGGCGGTGAACGCCATCATGAAGTGCTGGTGGTGTAGTAGCGGTGGCGATGGATGTATTCGAGCAGTTCGAATGGTCGGATGGTATAGTTTTTGTTTGGTTGACTTTCCGATTAAAACTCAAGCACTGCTTGTCGTGACCGGCCCGAGATTTCCAGCGTCGGCCTCGGCTACACGAATTAGCTATGCAGCTCCCACGGCTGCAGCTGCTTCCAATGCTGCCACTGCTGCTGTTCCGTCTCCTCTAAAATTTATAAAAAAAAATGACGGACTAGCAGCAGATTTGGATGCAGCCGCAGCCGTGAGAGCTGCATCGCTAGTTCGTTTAGCCATGGCCGGAAACCTCGGTAAGGTCAAGATACCGCTGTCATCTGTTCTTCGTCTGGGAGGAAATGTGGATGCGACTGCCGTCACAGGTGTAACGATTTTGAGAATCCATGGCGAGACTTGGTGGAGATTCACGGTTGTTTTGAAAATAATTTGATTATATTATGGCAACATCAATAACACATTTTGACACATGCACACTGAAGCGCAGAAAAAGTTCAGTGTTGCCAGTAACTTTAAATATCATAAAAATTGTAACCATGGGTGCCAAACAGCGTCAATGACGACGCCCGGGGGTGCCCAAGTTTGATTTTGGCACACTGTGTAGAGTGACCAACCCCTTGCCTAAAGATTATATTCTAAACGTCTGAAGTCCCACAAATGACTTGAAGTTCTAGTCAAATCTCTCTTAGAGTTCGTAAAAAAAAATCTGTTGGTATTTTTCACTGAAAAACATTGTTGTTATCTCCAGAATTCATTCGAAAATCTCTTCTAAATTCGCATAATATTTAGTTCATCAAAGTGACTATATTCTGAAAAAAACCAGTCTTGAAATTGTTTAAAAGTCCAGAATATTATTTTTTTCCTGATTTGTCATCGAAATTCACGGGCTTTTCCTGATTTCCCGGTTCACTGGTCACCCTACATAATAAAAAAACAATTGTTTGAGATCAAATTGATGGTGATTCCCTGTAGCGTCCTTTTTCGTGTTACACATCGCAACTTCACATGTAAAATATTAAGGTTAAGGTTGTGTCGTTGTCGTTATTAGTCACTTTGTTATATTGCTTTAAAGACACTCACCCCTATTCTGTATTTCGTTTCGAACGAAATTCTCATACAAAAAAATATTTTTGTGTATGAGAATTTCGTTCGAAACGAAATACAGAATAGGGGTGACTATTTGGTCACTATTTCCGTCACTAAAGTCTCTACTTTTACATTACATACCCACTACCAGCCCTGTAATGGGAATATTCGTTTGGTTCAGATTTGAACAGTTCATTTGACTCCGCTCATCTTAGTCGGAGGAATTTCTAGTAAAAATGTAGACAATTTACAACGACATCATTTGCAGTTTATCCTTGTTTTTAATGAGATACAAAAACGTGTCATTTATGCAAGGTTTCCGGTGGACCATGGGATGGAATTATCTTTTATGGCGACATTAAAAACAAGCGGTTCAAATGCTTATTAGAGGATGGAAATACGGCAACAATTTGAGAAAAGGAAATTCATATGCACAATCCGTTGTGACCTTTTAACGTTTATTTTTTTATTTTTTTAGATCAATAGTAGTCGCTTCTTGTTCTGTCGCCATTGAATCGAAACGCAATCACACTTGCATTATTTTCAAACCAGCCACGACAATCCCGTCGGTCGCATACGTGGTCGGTCAGTCAACACAGCACAAATCCTTGATTGCTTTTGTTTCTTTTGTGTGCAAAAGAGTGCGGCGTGAAGGACGGACAAAGGCCTACGTATAATCCATGCACTTGGTCACGTCCCAACCCCACGGCACGTCTAAGCGCCTCCATGGACCAACTAACCAACCAACAAACATCTCATACCAGAAGAATAACATGTCGGTTCGGATTTCGGTCCGCAAGCCGCGATGATGTCAATGATAATAATAGTGTTGGAATACGCGAATAGCAGCCCAGAGCAATCAACTGGAGGGAAATGGAGTCTGCGCAGCCTGATCCTTGCGGTGGTATCAGTTGTCAAGTGCTTCCATGTTCTTTTTTTTTCTCTCGTACTGTTTGTCATCAACCGTCAACCGTAATTGAATCGCTTCTCGATTGGAAATCGATTCGATTGGCTTGTGGTAACAAGTCGCAGACCTAACGGTCGAAACTGACTTGATAGCGGGATTTTCCGCACTCCGAATGTTTATTTGTTGTGATGATTATTTTATGTGTTTTTCGTTTGCTCGCGACTTCGTCGTCGCTTCGCAGAGAATGGCCACGTGGTGCTTCTTTTTTTATTGTTACTTTAAATTTTATTCTACTTTCGAAACTTATGTTTCCCTTCTGCTTGCAGGAGGAATGTTTTGTTTGTAAACAACCATTACCACCACTAATACCGACAGATTGGCAATAAATCGCACTCGCGTTTGAAGCACTCATATTTAGAGGGAACGCCTACACTTCTGCAACCCGCGAACATCGCCCTTATCATTTAATTTTTGTTTTCTTTCTATACTTACGGAGACGTAAACACTTTGGTGCAGCTAATCCGTTCGCTGATATCGCACATGGCCTCGTAGCTGTGGTCCCGTTCGGCCCGGATTTCCACGTAGGACGTGTACAGTGACAGCAGGAATCCGGCCAAGCTTAAACCGACCAATCCGGCGGTGAGCGAACATTTGCAGTTGCTTGATGAGTTCATTTCGCCGCCGTACGCGCTTTGACCGACGACTTTTAGATGATTCCGGAAGGATGCGTTTCGATAGGCAGAAGATGCACAATCAAGAGTTGAGGCGAAGTTTAGCAGCGGCTGCTGGACATTATTCTAGAACGCTGCACTAGATGTGTGGCGAACAACCAAATATAAAAGAACAACCAACCAGTCACTGTGGTATCGCGAGAACGTCTGTGCCGTGCATATCAGGCAGCAGCTGGAGCTGGAAGTGGTACAGTACAAATGATACAGATATAGGCGACGACAATGATAGGCTTCAATGTATGCGAGAGAATTGCGATGACAACGACGACGACGATGACGATGATGATGATGATGGTGAGCAGTTTTCTGTCTGCGTGCGTGAAGATTCATTCATTCGACTGTGGTAGACATTGAGAAGAGCATATCTACATCCATACGAAGAGTATCACATAAAATAGAGGAAGAACTTTCCGCGCACACACACACGCAGACACTCTGATCTGATTGATCGGAACATGCCAAAGCGTTGAGGCCGGTGAGGATGTGTGGTAATTAAATAATAATTAAACGTAAATGATTAAGCTGTTTCACGCCAAAATTACCCGTTCGGGAATAGATCTTATTCATGTGTTTGTATACTCGAGAAGATTAATAATTGAAATTTAAATGTAGTCGATTCTGAAATCTACACTTTGTTGTATCGCTGGTGGAAGAACCTATTTTCAATCCAACAGTCAGGGGTCAAATGTCATATGCTAATCGATTCAGGTTGTTAAGAATAATTCAAGAGCAAATTTTCATTACGTCGAATGTAACAAAGGTAAACAAAGTCGAGCTATCAGTGTCAATCGATTCTCCTGCTATTACACTATATACTGTCCGAATATAGGATCAAATCCTATTTTTAAATTTATTTGCCAGTCAAATTGCTTTTTGACGTAATCACCTTCCGATCAAAATAGTTTTCGATGTTACTTAAGTCACCCAATTTCTATGGAGATGCCGTTTGACTTAAGTAACAGCGCTGAGAAACCCGTGAAAAGTGTACGTTCGTCGTTTCGCTTTCTCATTATTAAAGTGAATAAATCGAACTGTTTGTTGCTAAGATGATTTCGGTAGTTCTAAAATGATGAATGGGCTGCATGTAAGGAGACGTAATTGATAATTCTCCCGAATATCCTGGTAAATACACTTTGACTTAAGTAACAATAGGGGCCACCAAACGACGTATAATAACTTTTGACTCAAAAACCAGTATTTTTTAGCATGAAAGCTAGCGATTTGCATTTGTATGATTAAAACCCTGCTAAATATGTTAAACATTGCTATCACTATGAGATTATATGTGTTTACTTGGAAATAGGAATAACTTTTCGGTCATCAAAACAAAACTTTATTTTTCTCGGATTGGTGCGAATGTTGCTTACGACATAATGAAAATTTGCTCTTGAATTAGGAGTCCAGAGTAATTTAAACTAGAATTTCATGCAGATAAATTCTGCCTGAATGTAGTTTTTACGATCCAATTGAAGAACAGATTGAAATCTTGAAATTTAAATAATATAGGGTTAACTACCCCATTTCCGGCTAATTAAGCACTACCCACACTTAGTCTTTCTTAGTCTTGTGTAGTTTAGCACCAAACGGAATGTTATTATTACTGATGGCTTCCAAATTTATTTACCTCTCCGTACGTACCGTAAGATTTGATAAAGAGAAACAAATTGTTCAGATATTGTTAAAAGTCTAACACTGCTTCTTGACGCCAAACTCGGCCTAACGCATTGAAACGCCAATGAATTCACTTCGGATAAAGATTGATTCGGTCGGAGCGCTTCATTTGATTTCGAGAATATTGGGTGCAAACATTCATATCACGCGTTCTTATTCGTTCGGTAGCATTTGAACTTAAGTATCGTACCAAACGCATATTTTCCTTGTTAACGCCTAAATCATGGATTTATTTGATGTTTTCTGCTTGATAGGCCCACAATGGGCGCTTAGGCCGAAATAGTTCTCTACCCTACCCCCTTTTCTCATTTTTTTTCAAATTCGCCGCGTTTCAGTTTTAGTCAGATAGTGAATGTCGGCCTAAATGCCCCTAATTTGGGCCCATACATAAATTCAGCAATCGACTAAATTTTCAATAGCGACCAAAAATATCCATTAGTACCGTCCCAAATGGTTAAAATTGATAAATAGCAGATTTTTAGCGAAGGGCCCAATCTTAGATCCATATGCTTACACTAGAGCCATTTCCCCAATCTGAAGATGACTTCTGGTTTGAGGGAGTGTCAAATAAATGTTATGCAACTAGCTATTAAATAACCTGAAGTGATAGTATCACACTTGTTACTCCTTTATTTGAAAGCCGCGTTGTAGTACGCTTACGTATAGGCACTGACGTTGGGTGCGATACTGGCGGGTTTTGCCGCAAATCACTCTTATTTTATTCATTTTTATGCAGGTAGATTTATTTGGGTTTTCAAGGGAATTATACTATTGAAATATTTCAGAAAGTGTCCAACGGTGCTCCTTCTACTTGCGTGACAAGCTTTCGTTGTTGTTTTCATTGAGGTAATACTCAGGGAACAATGTTAAACACCATTTTTGTACATGGTATTGCAACTAATCTTATATGTGCTTCATTTTGATTTGGGATAAGTGTTTGAACTATGGCTCGGGATTTCCACTGTGGCGTGCTTCTATTGTGACATAACCATACGTATTTTTGTGATGCGACATAGTGGAAACGTGTGAGTGTAGTTGGAGCATATAGGTACCTTGTGTAATTTAGAAATCGTCTACGAAACTAACTTCAAAGTGAAGCATTTGAGTCACTTGAAGGTGTCACCTGGGACGAACTAATATATATTAAATATAGGTCAAAGTCAGAAACAACTTGAAACACGTTAAATTTTAGATTACATTCACAAGTGCAGGTACTTAATAAAGCATGGTTGGTAGATTAGAGACTTCAATTATTTATTAAATTAGACTAGAGATATCATAATCATCAAACGAACTTAAATAAGAAAATTTAAACAGCCTAGTAGCATTAAGTGGATTAACAGAAGAGTTAGGATGCGGAGGGTCCGCTTAGGGAGGCAACTAGCCTTTAAAGCAACTGGAAACTAGCCTTTTCATGTATTGTCTATTTATTTTGATTATTGCTTTATAATATCTATTTGGTATATATGTGAAAGGATGAATCAGTGGGAGATGGATTTTCGGTTTCTTTACATTTAGCATCACTATGTGTCATTTCCTCAAAACCCCCCAATAACCGGCCTCTTCAATCCCTTCCTTTTCCCATGGCGTTCAAGTGGTCCGCATAGACTATTCAGCCATTACCCGTCCTTTATCCTCGGCTTTGGATTGACTTGCGCTCCCATTGCCCCACCAAACGCTGCAAAATGAAAATGAAATATCATTGCAAGAATTTGTATATTGTGTGGCAATGGCAAGTACAATGATACTCTATGGCCAGGGAAGTCGAGAAAATTTTCAACCCGAAAACCGGACCAGGAATCGAACCAGCCGCCTCCGGCTTGGCAATACCGTGACTCTACTGACTGACAACCTTGAGGCACCTCCACCAGGGACATGCTACCTACTGTTTAAACTCTGTCGTTGGTTTAGGCCCTTCTGTGTGTGTGTGTGTGTGTGTGTGTGTGTGTGTGTGTGTGTGTGTGTGTGTGTGTGTGTGTGTGTGTGTGTGTGTGTGTGTGTGTGTGTGTGTGTGTGTGTGTGTGTGTGTGTGTGTGTGTGTGTGTGTGTGTGTGTGTGTGTGTGTGTGTGTGTGTGTGTGTGTGTGTGTGTGTGTGTGTGTGTGTGTGTGTGTGTGTGTGTGTGTGTGTGTCTGCGTGTGTGTGTGTGGGAGTGTGTGTGTGTCTGCGTGTGTGTGTGTGGGAGTGTGTGTGTCATCCTCTATCCCTCACCCAGCCAGGGGCGTTGGACAAGTAGAACTGCGAATAATTTGATCAAATCTCATGCTTCGTAATGGTGCCCTTTATGTTGTGAAGACTAGTACTTCAAAAAGGGTAACTTTTGAGGCAAGACAGGGTGCCCTCAACAAGTTAAGGGAACAGGATGCACTAGATGTCCACAACAGGTACAGCAAAACATCACATAGACGCCCTTATTCACACTAACTACTCAGGGGGTAGAAGGTCAAGAAGAGCCACCGCCGCCAACTAAAGCTTGAACCGGGTACCTGGGACTCCCACGATATACCCGCGGCAATGGTCAGCAGACGATGCCCTGTGCGTATTTAGTATGTAATATGTTTTATTTGGATACACAAAATGTTTGAAGCCATGCGTCACTAAACCATAATTTGCATCACCACAAATACACTTGTCAGCAATCTTCAACTGGAACGCACTCACCAAATCACTTCACCCGGGAGCGCATTCCCGATTCTCTCCACTCCAACCACACAACAACCAAATATCACTTGTCTTCACTTTTCCCTTTCAAGACACTCCGTGCACAAAAGCAATGCACATCGCAAAACCCTAACAATAGATCAGCGCCGTTCTGATCACCGCGTAAATAAACAGAAATTAAAATTTTCACTTGCGATTCCACAAATTTTTGGTCCGGGAGAAACAATCAAACCACGCAGTGCCAAATCTTCTGATACTTGCAATTTTGCAAACATGATGAATCATGTTTTCTTTCTTGGTTCCATCCGGGAGGCAGAGTGCCAGCGCTAATCCGGCAAATGCAGCCGAAAACTATGAAAGAGAATGCACGCACAAAACAGAGAGCAAATTTAGACACAACCGTATCCAAAGGCGTTCGAAACTCGACCTTCTGTCGTTGGTTTAGGCCCTTCTCCACACAAAAGACATTATTCACCTTACCTTTCTATACACTTTGCACACACAAAAAGTTGACCGTACGTAACTTCTAACCTAATGTTTGAACTCTACAGGCTAACGGAAAGGAACGAGAAATGTAACATTAAATTCAGTCGTTTAGACTTCTCACATTTTAAACTTCACATACCAAGAAAAACACACCGCGACACTAAGTACACATAAGTATCTACTACTCGCACTCTCGCCTCTTCCACGGTTCACGTCAAAGGGAACGAGTAGAAGTTCCAGAAACCCTCAGATATGTGTGGATTGAACGGTCATCGTGGCCGGAAGTACGTCAAATTACCGAAGTAATTCAACGACCTTTCAAACGACAATTCTCATCATCTTTC